TAAGTTAAATGATAATACAGATTAGGAAAATCTACAGATGTAAATCAACAGCTCCTCTAAATACAGTAAAATAAAAATGCATTTAGCATTTTTTAAAGTATATTCCGCCACGTGTCCTAGTTTCCCGCCCATATTACCTATATATTAAAGTATATTTCACTGCGTGTCCTAATTTCCCGCCCATAAAACCCGATAAATATCGCTTTCCTAGGAAAACATGCAGGTTGTAGGGATTAATGAGTGGGGCTACATAAGCTACTTTGCCGGTTTTGCTAACCTGATTGCCACTGCCTCCGCTGTGGCTAACACCCGCTTGCGCAGGCCTTTGGAGTAGCGTGTCGGCGTGTGGTATATGACCCGAAAGGCTTCTTTCGCGTCCAATTGGGGGTTCGTATCAATTATGTGGGCGAGGATTGAGCTTGAGATCGGTCTGTTCTCTCCTTTGCTGAGCCATGCCGGTATGTGCTCGTGTATTCTCTTCTCCAGACGTCGAGTTTATCGGCCATTTGCCCATGTAGGTTGCCTGCCTTCGTACAGAGGGCTGGAGACGAGTCCTAGACTTCGTCAAAAGCCTCCTCGAGCCTACGTTCAGCAATCGCCTGCTGGCCCAATTCAATCTTACAGGAAAGTATGAACGGCGGAACTTCCACAACAGTCGAAAAAACGCACTGCTGGGCGTTAGCCGCCTCATTATATATGTAATGGACCGCTTACTTGCAGGCCAATAGAATAGAGCTGTCGAGTCCTTGCCCCCTACACATGGACTTGTTGTTACCCAAATGGCTACTTTGGCCTTCCTTCGGTAGTTTAAAAAGACCTTATCTTCGTCGGCAACGGGTGGTAAGTAACCCAGTCCATTAAATCTACATTAGCAGATGGCGTACTTTGTGTAGATGGCCACTGACAATGTTCCCGCATGCGTGAACAGGGTTTTCCAAACCCTTTTTTGCTGACAGCATTAACGACCACCTCACGTTCTACGGCCATCAGCAGGGAAAGCATAGAATGTAGTTCTGCGAAATATTAATTGCTTTTTCTCTCACCTGCTGTCAGAGGCTAATAGGATAGGTGATGACTCCCGACCAATCGAAAATCGTTGCCTAGAGGAGACCTTCGACTGCACCTTTAAGAGGGCCTACGATAGGCACCTGACCTGGGGAAGTAAGACCGGTGCTGAAAAAGCACCTATTAGTAAGTCAACGCAAGCAATTGGCATGTGTATAATATCTTCATGCACACCCTCCAACCACCCTCTTCCTCTATTTTACAGTATGAAGGGGTCGAGAAAAGGCAGCCGGATGCGGGCCCATTGGGGAGCCCACAGCTTTAATGGCCAAGACTCAGCTGTGAATTTATTTTGTACACTTGTTTTAATACTTTATATGCAATAAAGTATTTCAATATTGAGGTTGCGAAAATTCCCATCAGAGGATTCAGAAGACTAGTTTGGCGAGCGTATGTATGCTTTCGGTAATTTTACAGCTAGAGTTTGTCCGTTTTTTCGTAAAAGTGGGTCGTGAGAATAGGGGTAGGGAAGGGTAGGGTCGATAAGAGAAGGCTGGTTATGAGGGCAGGGTTCGGTGGTGTAGTCTAGGAGAGGGAGGCGGGGAGAAGGGAGGAGACAAACAGGACGTGTTTGAGTGCATGCCGCTAAGTGACTGTAGGCCACGCCAGATGCGGGATTTGCACGAAGTTCTTTTGCGCACACAAGGACGGTTTCGTCAACCTGATAGCAGTCGCTTCTGCTGTTGCTAGCACGCACTGACACAGGGACTTTGGATAATTAGGTGGGACCTTGTAGATCACTCGGAAGGCGTCGTTGGGGTCCACCCGATGTCCGGAATCAAACATATGCGCCAGAATAGAGCTGTTTATGCTCCTGACTTCACCTTTTCTCATCCATGCCGGGAGGTGTTCTTTTGGATAGACACCGACTCGTGCGACCACCATTAACCTGCTCCACAGGAGCAAGTGAACGAGTAGACGAACATGGAGGTGGTCTGAGCTGGTAAATTATCCTTACCTAGGATTGGGTTGGTTGAGAATAATACCGGAACTCTCTCTGCTAGGAAGGTTCTTGAAGCGGCTTGGTCAAGGCGTCTTTTCAGCAGTTCACTTGCCGAGTCCCCTCGAAAGGGGACTTTGAGGAAAAGTGTTTTCCTTTCCAAAAAAAGTGCGGCGGGTCTTATTTTTTTCGCAGCCATATTCCTTTTAATACATCTCTCAGGGCACCCGTTGGCGCAAAGTAGGTCCTGAGTTTTTTTGAGCTCCTCCTTAATACTGTCTGCTGAGCAAATTTTTCTAGTTCTTTGCACTAAGCAGCGAACTAAATTTCGCTTGCGTTGAAGAGGTACGGAACTGTTAAAATTAGTATGCTGTCCAGACCAGGTTTTCTTTCGGTAAACGTTCCTCCCTCCAAAAAGGGACTTCAGAAAAGTGCTACGAGACATGGGGGGAGGTTAAAGGAGCAAGGCGTGCCGCCGTGAAAATGCATTATGAGATACGAATTTTCGTACGAGTTCGAGGGTCATTTTCGTACGACAATGCGTACGCACTACTGGTGCATTCGTGCTAACTTCGTGGTAATTCGTGGCCATTTTGCTATTAGGGATTAAGTAATTCTCCTCATTGAGATATGTTTCGGACTTGGACTACGGAGCACAACGCCCATGAGGAGGACTTGCAGGAGGCTGTCCGCCCTTGCGGAACCTAGCTTCGAGTCAAAACACGCTCTGTACAGTACGCAAGCCAACCGACCATATCAATGAAATGTATAAATGGCAATAGCTCACTATTTGTCTCCATTTTATGACATCCGTCGCTTTGGGCAATCCCAGTTATCTGAACTATATACTGTAATACTTCCGTCCCTCCATCCTTATCTGTTACCGTGGGTGGTCACTTCCTAGGATGTCCTTCGAAGGTATGATTTTTGGTACATCGAAAGTGCAAAACATCGCCGGCTTATGTCCCGTAATGCTGTGGCGTTAGGGTGTAAGTTTGTCAGTTCACTACATGCGCACACCAGTGCCTCACTGGTTAGATGTCTGCATACAGTTATCAGCCTCAGAAGTGATACCTTCTTTACCGTATTTATTTGCTTGAACTACGATATTTCTGTCGACATTCGTCTGTCTATTTCAGAAGGGCAAATTTTAAAATCTGATCATTATACCATTTTTCAACGGCATAAAGCCAGAGAACAATAAAAATATTAGAAAGTTATGTGGCTCCATGGCGGTTAGACAGTCAGTACCTGGAAGGTAGCGCAATATTCCCGGAGGCAGGAGGGTGTAGAAAACTGGGTTAAAAGAGATTTTCGAAGACAGAGCTGTGGTCAACGTAAATTCAAGTTAGGGAAAATATAATTGCCGACTTTCTGCACTCTGACGTACTTGAATCAATCACGACACGAAAGAAGGCACCGCAGAATTTAAAAACACGCACAAGGTGCGATCGGATTTGTTTTCGGACTAAGTCTGTTTAAGTTCTTAGATAAGGATTCCGTAAAGGTAAGGTTCTTGAAATAGGCAGAGGCGGGATAAAACATGGCAACAGAAACATTTCGGCAATGCAGATGAATCTGGAAGGATAAATATTATTGAATTATAACCCAGGTTGCGGCTGAAAAGCTAGAAATAGCTATTGCAGTCTACCCTGTCGCTGGTGATGATCCAATTCTGATTACTAATTGTTTTTTATGGTGCCATATAATGCATATTGAATGCCTTACGACATTGACAACACAGGTATCGAATAAAAGTTCTGGCATGCCTTTAATCTTTTTTCTGGCGTTGTGCGTCACAGCGGAGAGGCGTTAGACTCATCAGTTGGTCTCACAGCGTCTCTCGCGTGGTTTCTGGTAGATATGTAGTGGCCCTAGCAGCCACTTGGAACCCAAGACCAGCCGCAGACGCATGACTCATCTAGCCTGCCTGTGTGCCTAC